AAAGCACTTTGAGTGGAGTGTCCAGAAAAGCGCTATATAAGTGTAAGCAATTATTATTATTACATAGATGACCATCTATTTCTAATAGTAGTACAGAGGTTAGCATTGCTATCTTACAGAGCTGAGGCTCTAGGTTCAATTGCTGGGGTAATGTATGTGTGGAGTTTATGTGTCAGGGATCCAGCAGGTAGTTCTCCAGGGATCCTGTGCATAGCCACAAGCTCTATGGGATGTAAGAAGCTAGAGATCAGTTAACAGGAAAGGGATGAGACAAACCAAGAAGACAATCCAAAAGGCAAAGTCCAAGAGACGAGATCAAAAGGGAAAAGTTAAGTCCAAAAAATGAGAAATCAAACAAGAAAATAACATGCACTGGAAAACACTAAATTATGCTTTTCAATAGTAAGCAAAGTCTGGTGTGTGAGGGAGGTTTAAATAGTGGAGGAGAGGAATGTGGTTGGATAATTGGTTCATGAGTGAGAATCTGTGGAATCTGGTACTTGTGAGAATGTGATGGGTTCACATTCCAGTTAGGAATGAGAGCGTGAAACAGTGGGTTTGGGAATGTAATGGGGTTTGCGTAAGTGTGTTTGTCTGCCCGTGTGATGGACTGGTGTTACGTCCAGAGAATATCCTGCCTTGCGCCTGTTACTTGCTGGGATAGGCTCTTGCTCCCCTCTATTGAATAAAGAGGTTAGAAAATGGATGGAACTAAAAATATTGTGTGACTATACACAGTAATAGAAACCCACTATGAGATGGTAGCAGTAATTCACTGAGGATACATTTTAAAGTGCTGGCTTAGGGAAACAGCTTTTCCACATCTCTGGCACATCGGTATCCATAGCTTGTTTTTTATTTAAACAAATTGTCTCTAAATATGAACATCTCAACATGCTGGATAAATGGATCACCATCAGCTACTGTATATTTGCCTATTCCTTCTATTAATGTGCATCCAACAAACAGTTCAATGTTAGCAACTATACAAAATCTCCATCACTCTCCCCAACCCCCACCCCCCGGATAGACAAAGATGATAAATGTGATAAATACTAATTCAAAAGGGTGTGATGTGTTAACACAAACTCTATTAACAGTGCTGCTTGTAAGAGCAAGGTGACTTTCTGTACAATTAGATGATGTACAGACAGATTTTAAATTCTTCAAGCAAAATTAGTTGTTTGTCAAATTCAGCTACTTTTCAAACAGTACATGACTTCTCAAAAGGTGCCTTTTGTCTCTTGTGCAAACTCAACAAAGGTTTACTTCTTATAATTTTGAAATCCTGGACGGTATGCCCCAGGAATTCATAGTATAATCAAAACAAAGCTGTTTAATTACTGTAGTATACAGTTTAAAATTAATAAAAGTCTAAACAGTATGCAACTTAAATGCTATAATTGGAAAAAGATTGTCCCTCAACATTGATTAAAAACCAGGTGTTTTTTGTCGACAGCCCAAATGCTTCTACTCACCGTTTTAAGCTTTCACTGCTCCACCTGGCAGTTTTATAAAGTAGTGCAGTCCCACAACTGAGTATTTTTAAAAAGGTGCAGTAAACCACAGTGCCTGAACCGCAAAGTACTGCATTATCCCCTTCACATTCTGAATGGCTGGATCGGTATAATACATTAAATGAGACATCCAAGATGTGACAAACTGTCTGTATGCTGTACATCTCACAGTTCTGTCACTTTACTTGTGCTACCCATGAAAAACTGAAACCAAGAGGAAAGAGAAATCTGGTGTTGACAACAGAACCAGGACAGAGTGATGTCATATCCCATATAACCACTAACCATTCTAGATTGTTCTGTACATACCGAAACTGCTAACAAAGAACAGATTGGAGTAGACAACACCTGATATCAAAGAATTTGTAAGCCAAATCCTACATACTGATGGTGACAATTTTTCATACAACATGTAATGTATTATTACAAATGGGGGATCACTTGCAACTTGTAAATGATTTCTCTAATATACCCATGTTCATCAGAGGAGCAGGACAAAGTCTTGTGCAGATTCAGTTTTATTGAGTTCAATAAATCTAACAGTCTGCCCCTCAGAAAAGACCAACTGCAAAGGTTTCCCAGCTCTTATATACAGTCAGAAGAAAGTTTGTTTCACAGTCTGAGTTCTTGTCCTGATCTTTGATACAGTACAGTATGTAATTACTACTTGTCCTAATCTGTCTTGCTCTAGATTCTGTCCTTTGATATGCAGCAGACATTGGTCTGCTTTATCATGTTTGTGGCTGTTGCTCCTATCTTTTATTATGTAGCGTTAAGTCACTGGGAGTTCTAAAGAAAGTCAGCTTTATGCCATTTTAGCATAACTTTTGTTTAAGGCTAAATTAACAGACTCCAGCAACACCTCTCACAATGTGCTTAAGTAGTGACATTGTGATGCTGGATAAGTGAGATATATACATGTCCCATTTCACCCAAGTGGCTGGTATAACTAGGGGCACATTAATTCTTTATTCTCTGGCACAGCGTTCACGAAAAGAGTAATAATCCAGGCACACTTGGTTAAATAAATATTAATGATGACAATACAAACACAACACTACACACAACAAAACATACAACAAAGTTACTATAATTACAGAACATACAAACAAGGCATGTCAGAGGCCTAACATCCTAATCACCCAGAAAAAACCCAGATTTCTACTAAGTATTAATAGTTCAAGAAGGTACTGTAGCTGCATCAGCATGGGTAGGCTGCAAGGGAGCAAGTAAAAGTTTATTCCATGCTGTGTGACACCCAAAGAAGTCTCCACAGCTGAAACATCGTATTTATTTTCTTCTCTTTTCAGCATGGAATAAACCTCTACTTGTTCCTTAAACTCTTAATGTCTACGAAGGCCAAATAAGAGATAAGTTGCCTTTCTAAATAAATGTGATATAACCTGCAGTTAAATCTCTCTAACTAATCTAATCTCTTAAATAACTAATCTCTCTGACTGCACCCCAGATGACACAAAATAAATGGGAGCCTATCTCCCTATTCTAAAAATTCACCCTAACCAAGTTCCCTAAAAACACAAAATAGCAAGCTTTCTCTAGCAAGATTCAAATACTTAACACCAATCAGGTTTTGTTTGGATGATCATGAAGTAGGTGCTCTTGCCAAGCGTAAGCTTCAAGTTTGAACTCCTCTCTTCTCTCTATTCTTGTCCGCTCTTGTCCTTGTCTTGCTTTTCTTCTCCTTGTTCTCCTCTCTGTCATCTTAATGTGATCATATATGGTTTGTTTCTGTACTGGTCATTGACAATAATTATCCCACAACTTACCTAGGTATACCAAGGTAAACTTTACAATTGTTTTTGCTCAAGGGATCTCCCACATCTCAGGAAACATGCTCTCTGCTTTGAAGCTCTAAGTGCCAGGTGTCTCCAAGAGACACTTCCAAGTCACCTAAAGCTGTAACAGTGTAATTTGTGCTTATGAAAAAACATTGGTGTAAACATTAATATAGATTAGAAGGTTGGCAAAGAGCAGAATCCCTCAGGTCTGTTCTATTGTGTCCTGAGAACTATCCAAAATGAACCTCCTTTCCAAAGCTATACCAGCTATACCACTTTTCCCCCTCATCCTCTTGGATCTGAAAGAGCAGCAGGTTTTGGGGCCAGTCCCAGGGTTTCATTCTGCCAAATATCATGAAGGAGAACACAATAATGTTGTGTATACTATATATGCAATGTCTTTTTGAAATGTTATAACATAAAATAATTGTGAATTTGATACAGCCCTACACATGACCACTAGTGTCATGGCCTGGGGAGGGCCACCATGAACAAGAGAAACACCTGTTCTGAAAGACAGTAAGATAGATGCTCACATCTGACGGGACATTATAGAACCAATGAACTATTGCTGTTTGCTTGTATGGCTTGTTAAAAAGCTAAAGGTGAAAACAAGCAGGATATAATAGCATTTATTTTAAGATATGTTTGCTTTAGTTTTGCATTCTATGAACCATTCACATATCTAGCATCTGGAATGACCATGCAAACTGCCATACCATGGGAATTTGATAGAAAGCAACACCCATAAGGAGACTATGTTTTTATAGTGTGATCCCTTTCTTATTGACACAAGAGTCATGCAACCCAAGCCAATTGAGTACAGTGCTACTATATTAAAAACAACCCAGATCCAAAGTACAACACAATCTGCTAGTCACCTCATGTTTTCCTTACATAAGTTACAGTGGTTGACTGACCAAAATACATAATATTGTGACTTATTATATTGATCTTTCAGTTTTTACACATACTATATTTTAATATTTGGTTTTATTTGCTTAATTGCTAATAATAACACAAAAGTTGTATGTTTTTTCAAAGGTTTGAACATAATAATAATTGCTTATATAGCGCTTTTTCTGGACACTCCACTCAAAGTGCTTTACAGGTAATGGGGACTCCCCTCCACTACCACCAATGTGCAGCATCCACCTGGATGATGCGACGGCCGCCATAGTGCGCCAGAACGCTCACCACACATCTGATATCAGTGGGGTCGAGAGCAGATTGTAAGGAGGCCATGACTGGTAAGGGCCAATGGGATATTTGGCCAGGACACCCGGGTTGCACCCCTACTCTTTTCGAGAAACACCCTGGGATTTTTAATTACCACAGAGAGTCAGGACCTCGGTTTTACGTCTCATCCGAAGGACGGCGCCTGTTTACAGTAAAGTGTCCCCGTCAATATACTGGGGCATTAGGACCCACATGGGCTGCAGGGTGAGCTCCCCCTGCTGGGCCCACTAACACCTCTTCCAGCAGCAACCTTAGTTTTTCCCAGGAGGTCTCACATCCAGGTACTGACCAGGCTCATACCTGCTTAGCTTCAGTGGGTTGCCAGTTGTGAGTTGCAGGGTGATATGGCTGCTGACAAGCTGCAGTATTTAATATAGTAAACAGTTTGTTGGTTGAAATATAAATCCAGGCCAAGAAGATAACTTGCTCCTTACCATTTTTTCAGATGCTGTGTTCAGCCATAGCTGTAATCCTGCACTACCTCTTCCTTGGAAGTTTTATGTGGATGTACTTGGAAGCAATTCAGATTTTCCTCCTGGTGAAGAGCCTGAAGAAAGTGAAGGTCATCCAGAGACAGGGACTGCACTATGGTTACCTTCTGCTGATTGGGTACAGCACTCCTGCTATCATTGTGGGTGTGTCAGTTGGAGTTTTTCCAAATGGCTATGGAAATGAAAAAAAGTAAGTGCTTGTCTCACTGTTTTGTGTGCATAAGTATACAGACATTAGCCCATGTTTCTGCTGAGACTTTTATGTGAGAAATCTTTTTTTTTTTCAGATGCTGGCTGAAGAATGACAATGGCTTCAGGTGGAGTTTCCTGGGGCCCGTGTGCTATATTCTTGCAGTATGTTATTTTTTTTTTCATCTGCTCCAGTAAAATATGCATTAAGTGATAACTGAATTTTGAAAATTCTCTTTTTAACCAAATGACCTATATGTTATAGGACATACAGTATATGCTTAACGGAACAAGTAATGGGTTTATTCCATGCTGAAAAGAGAAAAAAGAAAACACAACGTTTCGGCTGTTGAACCTTCTTCCTTACTCCCGAAGAAGGCTCCACAGCCGAAACGTGTTTTCTTTCTTCAGCCCAGTTGTACAGCCTATGCATGACACAGCTATCCACCTGAACTACATATATGCTTAATGATGATGTTGTTCTAATAATAATAATGTAGTCTTTTTGCGAATCATTAAACACCATTAGTCCAAATCTAGTTTTGTTAGCCTTGATGATTGAAGACTACCATTTTGTTAATTTACTGAAGTTTGATTAATCTTAATGATGCATAACTCAATCATATGTTTCTTGTTATTTACATTATGGTTTATGAAAACTGCAGTTTGGATACAATGAAAATTTTATTCTAAAGAAATGGGTTGGCTTATTTTTTAATATACTTTCTACAGACAGGTGTCCTTCTCTTTGTTTCAACTGTATGGAATCTCCTAACTGTTCTGGCTCACATGAAAAGTAAAATCTCCAAAATAAGAGACACCAGGTGGGTACTACAATGAAAATTTTGACCTGAAGACAGCAAATGATTCCTTCAAAGTTTATGATCTGCTAACAAAGGTTACAAAATAAATATACAATCACAAGGATTCACAGTATCCCTTAAGCATTGAAAAAACATTAAACATTTAATGGCATTGTGTTTATTAAAGTCCATTACTTTGATTTAGCACAATAAATGTAAATCTGTCAAACCAACCAATATTAAAAGAAAGCCCCCAGAGACCATTATCACCTTATAACATAAGGAATATAATAAAAATTACAAATGAGAAGAGGTCATTCAGCCCATCTGATCCATTCAGTAGTTAGTAATTTATGGCTCCAAGGGTCTCATTAAAGTGATTAAGCTGTTTCTTGAAGGAAGCTAAAGGAACAAAGCTGGGTAACTTTCATTAATAATTAATTGTATCAATTGCCCTCATTGCCTTCTCAGTGCAAGACTAAAAAGGTTAAGCTCTTTATACCCTTTCAGTGTTGGCCATTCATTAAAGTCTGTAATGTATCTGATTGCTTTGCTGTGGACTGTTTCTAGAGCAGCGATATACTTTTTTGTACCATGGTGACCAAAATTGAACATGATATTCTAAATGTGGTCAAACACTTGATTTGAGTTTTACACAACAGGCCACAGCCTGTCCCAAGGCAAGGAAAGCGCAAGGCTGAATGGGATGCCATCCATCAAAAGGCAAACACACTCACAAAAATACGCACACTCAATTTTCTCAGAAGGCAATTACCCTACTAGTATGTCTTTGGACTGTTGGAGGAAATTAGAGTACCCTTTGGAAACACACACAAGCACCGAAAGAAAATACAGTTTCAGTTTATTTTCATGAAGTCATTGTCTACCCTAGCTAGGAACTTGTCAACTCTGGTCAATATCAGTCACCTTAGCTCCATGAAGATAGTGTTACGATCCCTGCCTCCCGGCAGAGGCAGAAGTAGGCGTAGCCCTACTCCTTCAGTTTACCTATCAGTTTTCCTATTCACCACCACACCCCCGTCTCTTCCTACTTAAACACCTGTCTTTCCCTACCTCCTTGCTCAGTATTGGTTTTCCTTTCGAGCTTCCTGGTTGCGCTACTCCTTCTTCTACCTTGTGTTCTTCTTGGCTTTCGGTTTACGGTTTTTCCCCTTTTGACTTCGGCTTTTCGGATCACGGCTTGGCTTCGTTACTCACGCTCTGTTTTGGATCTCTGGCTACCTCTGGACTATCGGATTGCTCTATTGTCTACGATTTCGGATCACACTTTGGCTTTGGTAACTCATTCCCTTTTGGATCTCTGGCTTCCCCTGGACTCTCGGCTCGTTCCTTCGACTACGGCTTTCTTTGGATCACGGCTAGGCTTTGACAGCCCCTGCAAGTGGGTTCACTCACTGGTTTCGGTTTCTCTTACCGAATCCGTAACAGATGGCAAACTGATATTGCCTGTGAGTTTGACATATCAGAAATGAACCTCAAACCCTAGTTAATCCAGGTCTGGCTCATTTGTAATGTTAAATCTTCTCCATCTCTTTCAGATTAATAGTCTTCAAGACACTTGCCCAATTTGTCATCCTGGGTTGCAGCTGGATCCTAGCTTTTGTCCCAGAATCTCCAATGTTCTTTTATATGTTTATCTTTCTCAATTCACAGCAGGGGACCTTTATCTTTCTTGTTCATTGCCTGCTCAACAAAGAGGTAATCTATTTCCGTGGACTTTCATACCTAGTTTATCTATAGCAGGTAATTTAAATTGGAGTTCATTTGTCAACTCACATTCAATTAAGTTTTTGTGGTTCTGCATTGTAGAAACCTTTGTTTTACACGTACTGTAGGTGAACACAAAATGAGGTTTTCCTGAAATGTTGGGCTCTTCTAGACAGAACTATAGCAGCCATTCTGCTATGGTAGATGCACCACAGGCATTTCTTACTCTGTATTTTGCTTTGGGACTCTTTTAGCTCTATTTTCTAGTGTTTCTATGTATGACTGAGAATATTTTGCACTTTAAGTCTGAATTCCTGCAAATAGTTTTGTTGTTTTACATTTATGAGTATCTCACAAAAAGGTATCTTAAAAAAATTCCCTCATCATCATCTTAGATGGTCACCATATCATCGACAGTAAAAGCCAAAATCTTTGAATATTTCTTTAACAGATGCCAGCACTTTGTTTTCAAAAGTAAGTAGTTTCAGAAACTGTGAGAATGTGGAGGCACATGTGCAGCACAAAGTTGAAATAGTAACAGGTGAGATGACAGCTACTTTGAATTATGTGGAAGTTTTATTCGGAGTGATATGGAAGAAAGGGACCACCCCATAACTTTGGAATAGGGCAGAGGGCTGCTTTGTTTCTAAGGAAAATAATTCCTCTGCAATTGGCGTTGTTGGGTGAGATCTTCTCAGTGTAAGCTAAAAAGATGACAACATACACCACCAAGAAAATCTATGCAGAAAGAGGAGATCCCAGGCTTTTCAGGATGCTTGGACTACACAGGAGTCCTTAGTCCAATAATTTGGGAGGTAAAGTCCAGAAGAGCAAACCTGACAATTGTCTGGTTGGATCTGGATAATGTCACGCTCTCTGCAGCCAGAAGGCACTCCTACTCTGTCCTTTCCCTAGTTTCCTGTGCTTTGCTGTCCTTCCGGTGTCTCCCTCTCTGGGGCTATATATTTCCGGGTCTCTCCATTCACCTTGGCTCAGCATTGACGTTCGGATGTCATGAGACCTGCCTAGCACCAGGTCGCCCCACGTCCGCTGCCTGAGTGCATTGGTTTCTATACAACTCCTGAACTGCTAAGCCCAGGCTAATCCCCTATTCCGCCGCTACGTACTGTATATGGGTCTTTTTCCACTCTCCCGGTTTGTCCCTTCCGACATCCTTGACAGATAATGCATATGGATCCTTCCCACATAGTTTGATTTGGGTTGCATTGGAGCACCTTCATATCCCACACCACATCAAGGGAATGATTACCAGATTCTGTGGAGGAATTAACAGACTCTGTATAACATCTAATGGAGTGTTGACAGTACACAGCCTTAAGGGGCTCCAATATTCAGAATACTTTGAAAGCATGGTAGCAATCTTCACCACCTGCTTTCAATTTAACAGAAAATCCAGTGGTTTATCAAACAGCTTTATAGGCACAATTGTAGTAAATGCTGAGCTATATTCATTGAATAGAACCCGTGTGTAGGAAGCAGGAGCCACAAGGTAAAGCAGGATGAAATGAAGGCAAGAAGAAATTACATCCTCTATTAGAACTATTGGCTCTGTATACAAAGGGCTCTACGATTGACAGATGGTTACAAACCTGTCACTCAAAAACTTTAATTTTTACCAAGGTCAGGGCTGAAGGGCTATAATCATTCAGGCAGCTGACATTAGCTTTCTCAGGCACTGTAATAATTACTGCAGATTTAAAACATGCAGGAACTTTACACTGCCAAGGAGACCTATTAAAAATGTCAGTAAAAACAGGAGCAAGCTGATAGGTACAGCACTTAAGATTTGCTTTGGACACAAAATCAGGTCATTCTTGCCTCTTGCTACTTCCTTCTTGCTGTGTTGTTTTAGTAGACCTCATGCTCCTGAATTACACAGGGTGGGTTCAGGGACTTCACCACTGTGGGCAGAATCTGTTGATTAGCCATCAGTCTGTACCATAAAATTAATTGAGGTTATTAGCAAGCTTGTGATTGTCAGTATGGAAAGTGTGTTTGATCTCATAGCCTGTAATCAGCTAGAGAGCTTCCACACCCCTAAAATATTACCTGTTCAGAGGGGCAGGAATCATAGCCATATCATGAATTACGTTGGCTGCTTCAGTCTTTATGACCCAAGCAGGGAGTGCATTAAAATTTCAGGACATCATTGTGAACACATGTAAAGGCAGGCAAGGCCTGGGAACAACACACTTCCAGCAGTGGGAAAAAGCCAGCTCAAAGAGAGGAGCTATGGCATAAGAAGTTGGGGAATCTGGAAAAGGAGTGCCAAAGGTCTAGAGCAGTTGAGCTGGGTGTGCAGGGAGCATGGACACTTGTGAAAGTTAGACCCCTTTTGTATCACTTTCCTGCTGCATCAATCTATAATACCCTCCTATAACCAATAAATCTGTACAAATAGGGTATGAAGGAATAACCACTGTGAAGGCTTTGTGGAGAGAGGGGTAACATGGCACATATCCTCTCTGGGTGCAGAGTAGCACTTTCCCAAAAGAGGTACAGATGGCCCCATGACAAGGTCTTGATGACATTCGTGTAGAACTTGGATAAAGAGAGATGGAAGAAGTTCAGGACGGACCTACAAATGCAGTGGAATTTGTCAGGGAGGGAGAGAAGTGGTCTAGGTCAAGTGAAATTAAAGTTCCTGTCTTGGATAAGGGTCAAAATCTGTTTTCTTTACCTGATCACATCAATTCCTGTCAAACAGCATTAGCCAATGCAACAATTACTACAGAGAGCATTAGTAGTACTGTATAAGAAATGTGTATGTGAATGTTTTCCCTCAGTTCACACTATCTGGATCTATTTTCTCTTCTTCCCTTCTGAGCTCACTAGGACCTAAGGCACTGTCACCTTCAGGACTACTGTACATTTACGTTTTGCTTACCTGTAGCTGATCTTCTCTTTGCACTCCTTTTAATAAATGGAAGCCTGTTTTGTGATCATACTATATACAAGATGAGCATATTAGGGCTCCCTCAAGTACAAACTAGCCAGCAGCCATATCACCCTGCAACTCACAACTGGCAACCCACTGAAGCTAAGCAGGTATGATCCTGGTCAGTACCTGGATGGGAGATCTCCTGGGAAAAACTAAGGTTGCTGCTGGAAGAGGTGTTAGTGGGCCCAGCAGGGGGTGCTCACCCTGCGGTCTATGTGGGTTCTAATGCCCCAGTATAGTGATGGGGACACTATACTGTAAACAGGCGCCGTCCTTCGGATGAGACATAAAACCGAGGTCCTGACTCTCTGTGGTCATTAAAAATCCCAGGGCGTTTCTCAAAAAGAGTAGGGGTGTAACCCGGCGTCCTGGCCAAATTTCCCATTGGTCCTTACCAATCATGGCCTCCTAATAATCCAGTAATGAAACCAGTTCATCTATGAACTGGCTTCATTACTCTGCTCTCCTTCCCACTGATAGCTGATGTGTGGTGAGTGTTCTGGCGCACTATGGCTGCTGTCGCATCATCCAGGTGGATGCTGCACATTGGTGGTGGTGGAGGGGAGTCCCCATTACCTGTAAAGCACTTTGAGTGGAGTGTCCAGAAAAGCGCTACATAAGTGTAAGCAATTATTATCATAATTATTATTAAACTGCATCTGTTTCTTCTCTGAAGCTCTTACATATCAGTGTAATGTTTAATATATTTTAGACAACGTACGCCATGGAACTGAGGACTTTCATGAGGCAGGGAGACAGTTGACAGTTGTCTTCTCTCTGAAAACCTTCATCTATGTTAAGGAAACAGTGTTCAGAAAAAAATAAAAAAAATCTTTAGCCAAAAAATATCCTCCTGGAGCTAGTAACTGAACTTTAGTTCCTCATGATAACACATGCATCAGCTAAGATGTTGATTGGCTTAAATAAAAACGTCCTTTTTTGAAACTCTAACTGAACCTACTATCTTCTTACAGTGTATATAATGTATTTTGCCAGTGCCATCTTGTGAACTAGCCTACAGTACATGTACAAAGTGCACTCTTCAGTTTTTCTGCCAACAGACACCTATAGGTACATATAGTGCTTTGCAAACAGTAATCTGACCTTTGCACAGTTTGCACAATTGTCATGCTTTAAAGTAACATTTAATGCATGAAACATTGAAGTAGCAGTTAATATTATATACCCAACTTACTCTGCATATTCAAAACAAAAAACAAAATGATCATTATTATGAAAGACAATTTGAAAAGTCATTACATAAATGTTTGTCACCTTATTATTATGTCTGCCAATAACAGTTGTTGTCATGGTATCAAAATAAACACACCTATTTTTGTAAGGAACCTATGTCAAGTAGTGAATTGCAACCAAAGAATCAATCATGAAGACCATGGAATTTTTAATACAACTTGTACAGTATATTAATATATTTTATTATACATTAAAATCCTAAATGTATTTATTAATATATATTAATTTAATATTTTTCAATTTTGTTTTCTTATTTTTTGCTGGCATTTACTGTAACTAAGTTTTTGAATAATATATATTTTAAGTCAAGGTACAGATGAAAAGAAATAAACCTTAGCTGAAAAGAAAGAGAAACATTGAAACATTGAAAAAATAGACATTGGGTGAACAGGATATATGTGTAAAAAAAAAACTGGAAATGACAGAGTGTAATGATAAAAGTGTGCCAAGCAGTGGGATACACAGAGATAGTGGACATATCAATACTAAAACGTATTGAAAGTTCCCCTCGATTGTGGCACGCAATCTCTCTTTTTGTGTATTTCATCAATAATATTTGGAACAGAGATATGGTTTTGCAGCAGGAGTTGTGGTGCATGTGTACAAAAAACAAAGAAATGGATTTCGTCTGTAAAAATATGTAAAGATTGTGACAACATAACAAATATGAATCAATCAATCATTTGTTTAAACATGGACACATTGTCAAAACAAAAATCTAACGTTGGCCATCTTTTTTTGTAGGTGAGAAAACAATACAAGAAATGGTTCCAGTACCTCTGGGGAAAAAATAAAGCATTAACTTGGAATCTTCAGTTACTACACTGCAAACCTGCTCGGTAAGATTAATTTCTGATATAGAAATATCTTTTTATTTTATTGTGGTAAATGTCATGTTTTTAATACATTTGTGTTTAAAAAAAATATTAATCATATAATTTCTCAGCTGCCTGGAAAGAATAATAGACCAGATACCAAAAATGTGATTTTGTGTGATACTCCTGCAGTATTACAGTACAAAATATTGAAATATATTGTGCTATTATGTCTCCTGTGATATAAAATGCATAAAATTAGATTTTCCATCCCTACTGAATCAATTTGTATGTAACCATATCAAAGAAGAACCAATAGCTTTATTGTTCCCTTCTTTCAGTCACAGTTGACAGTTTTCAGTAGTGCTAAGCTCTGGTGCACTCAGCTGCACATCCACACCACATGCATCAATATGAGTCTATATATGAGTCTAAATTAAAGAATATTATATATTATATATTATATAAAGGTTGGTGTCTTGGGCCTATTTCAAATAAAAGTGCACTTATTGAGTTAAGTGCCTCCATTCAGCAAGCAGCAGGGGTGTGTAATGTGTTTCTAGAAACAAATGTTAAGGGCTTAATTATTACTCATTAGTTATCAATTGCTATCAATAAAATCAATATATATATATATTTTTCAGATCACAATCTGTACAAATGAAAGGACTTTTTCTGGATAAACATAATTTATTTTTTGTTGAAACATCAGAATTAATTTCAGCTTAGTATCTCTTTTTATTTAATACTTCAGGTTCAATAATAATAACATGCATCTAAAATTAGGACAGTGATTTCATCGAGAAGTTTATTTCTGTTTATTTCTGTTTCATTTACACAAATAACTGAACACTTCAAATTGGTAGTCAAAGCAAATAAGGATTCAATTTGGACAAGACATTGAATGGATAGTCATGTGATCCTCAAGAAAAATAGAAAATCGGATTGATGCTGATACTTTCATTTTTCACACTTATAGAATATTTTTGTATTGTGAGGCCCTATAAGGTAATTTAACAGCAATACCAGTTTACTAAAGGTTAAGCTCTCTACATTAGAGCTGAAACAATGACAGTTTTTAAACTACTGATGCATTATTTTATCGTTTCAATACATTTATGTAATGTTTTATGAGTCTGTTTCTTACAATTTGAAAATTAAATTCTGTTTTCATTGAGAAAGACAATGGCTCTGGTTTTAGAGAAACACCAATATACCCACTTTGCTGATCACTAAAAGGTAACTTTAGTCAGTTTTAAGGTAACTTTAAATTTTTTTCTGTCTCAAAATATTCAGGGTTTAAGGGGCCAATGGCTATCCTAGTTGTTATGGTCGCCTGGTGGGCGATGTTGGACCCTATGCAGAAATTCCTCTGAGCACGGCAAGAGGGTGGTAGGAGAGGTCCAGGACTGGGTTCAACAGGGTGGTCCGAACACAGTGGAGGTGCCGAGGGCGTAGCCAGAGGAGTAGTCCGAGTAGGCAAGCAGGGTTCACACCGGGATGGTCAGGAAAACAGTGGAGCTACCGAAGGCATAGACAGAGACGGTGTCCGAGTAGACAAGCAGGGTTCACACTGGGATATCCACAGGTTCACAAGAGGTAAGGTTGGAGCAAACAGGGTTGATAGCCGGGAGGTTTAAGCACCGCCACGGAGAATGAAGGAGCTCTGACGGGGGAAAAACCCAATACTGAGCAAGGACAGACGGGCTCGGCAGGTATTAGTAAACCGATGGAGAGGGGTACAACCAGGCGGCTTTTGTCCGCCAACTGTTTCTGACGAAGTTGGGAGCACAGAAGGGCGGTCCTGGCTGCCTTGCAGGTGTCCCAGATCCTGGACAGATGTTCCCTTACCGAAGGTACCTGGATGTTTGGGAGGGAGTCCAGTAGGAGAGGTGTGGAGTGGGTTGTGGGCATACTCAGCCCAGGGGAGGAGAGAAACCCAGTTATCTTCAGATTATGTGGAGGTCAATGAAACAGTGGCACAGAGGGCTTTACAAAAAGCCTGCCAAAATTTGGAAATAAATTTTAACCCATGGTCAAACACAATATCTTGGGGGATACAAAGCAAACAGAAAACATGTAAAATGAATAGATCAGCAAGCTCCTGTGTAGTGGGCAGGGAAAGAAAGCAGAATGAAGTGGGCTGCTTTAGAAAACCTGTCCACAATTACCAGAATGGTGTTACAGCCTTGAGAGACCGGAAGATCAGTGATAAAATCCACAGAGAGGTGGATCCAGGGGCGACTTGGAGACTAGGAGCCGGGGGGGTCTTAATCCTGGCACAAACATGACAGACTCGGACCTAGTCTCTGACATCCTCCTTAATAATAGATCACCAGAAATCCCATGACGGTAGTTAGAGGGTACGTTTGATCCTAGGATGGCCCGCAAAGTGTGAGTCATGTGCCCATTGCAGAACCGTAGATCTCACTGAATTTGGCACATAAGGTTTGTCTGGCGGGAAATGCGTGGTTATAGGGTGGCCAAGCTGGACACGTCTTACCTGTTGCTCGACATCCCACCTTACTGCGGCCAGGATATGTCTGGAGGAATGATGTGTCCTAGAAGCAATCAACATTGGGAGGGTCGTGGAGTCTCGAAAGAGCATCTGCTTTCTCGAAAGAGCATCTGCTTCAAGTTGCTTTCCTGGTGCCAGGAGTATAAGTAAGAGTGAAGTTAAAAAAGGAAAGGAATAATGCCCATCTGGCCTGCCTGGGGTTCAGGCGCTTGGCTGACTGCAGTTTGGATAAAAAAACAATTTCCAACCAATTTCGCCATTCCTTGAGGACTAGCTTGATAGCCAAGAATTCCCGATCCCCAACATCATAATTCATCTCTGCAGGTGACAACCCTAACCAATGCCAAACCCAGAGATGTCAACCTCCACAAAGAGAGGAAGCGAGGGGTCAGAATCTTTCAGATTATGGCAGTGGTGAAGAGGGTTTTCAATTGACAGAAGGCTTTATTAGGCTGGCGGGGTCCATCTTCCTTGGTGCACACCTGTCTTGGTGAGAGATGTGATAGGCGCAACAACAGAACTGAAGTTTCTAATGAATTTTTTAAAGTTGGCAAAACCTAGAAATCTTTGTATTTGTTTTAAAGTTCTTGGTGTCGGCCAGTCCACTATAGATGAGATTTTCCTTAGGTCCATGGTGATTCCCTGAGGGGAAAGAATATAACCAAGGAACTGAACCTGGTCGGTGTGAAAAATGCATTTCTTTTGCTTGGCGTTTACAACGTTAGATTATAGTTTATGTTGAATCAGTCACGTGAGTAATGTGCTCTTGAAAGTAGTTGGAAAAATTAAAATGTCGTCAAGATATACTAACAGACGTTTATTGATGAGATCCAGGAAAATATAGTTGATAAAGGACTGAAAGATTGCAGGTGCATTGGTTAATCTGAATGGCATGACGAGGTATTCATAATGGCTGTGCATTGTTTGAAAAGCATCTTCCATTTGTCTCCCTCCCATTGCAAATTCAATTACATGCTCCCCTGAGATCCAGTTTAGTAAAAATGGAAGCCCCCCTGATGGAATCCAAGGCTGCAGGAATAAGGGGCAGAGGATTATGGTTTTTAATGGTGATGGCATTTAATCCATGGTAGTCAATACATGGGCGGAGGGTACCATCCTTTTTTTCCACGAAGAAAAAAACAGTGGCAGCCAGGGAGGAAGAGGGACAGATGAAGCTGGCTTGCAATGTTTCCTGGATGTACGTATTCATGCAAAGCCTCAGACTCCATGTAAGAAAGGGGAAAAACTTGCCCCTGGTCCAGAGTGTGTCAGTAGAGCAGCTGTAAGGTCTGTGAGGGGGTAAGGAAAGCATTTTTTGCTTATTGAATGCCTCAGCTAAGTCATATTGGGGAGAGATTTCAGAATGAGGATCTGAGCAAGGGACAGTGAGGGCTACCCTAAGTGGACTACGACAGCAGGAGGTGAGACACTGGGGACTCCAAGCTAGCAGTTCCCCAAGGGACCAGGAGATATTGGGTTCACGTTTTTTTAGCCAGAGGAAACCTAGGACCAGAGGATGAAGGATTCAAGGAAAAGAAATGTAGGAAAAACGGTATAAAGTCAAAATGCAAGGCTCCAATTTGGAGACACCGGGTCTGCCATTTCACAAACCCGGGGAACATGGGGGAGCCATCCAAAGTCTGTACGTGAAGAGGGGGCTGGACAGGGAGCAAAGGAACATTCCAAGAGCAGGCCAGGCAGACGGTCAAAAAATTTCCCGGGGGCACCTGAATCAATAAAAGCAAGGAGCAAAAAGTTAAGTATGCCCCAAGACAGGGAGACAGGGACAGTTAGAGCATTGTGAGCAGAAAAAATTAAAGGTGTCTGTCTAACCTTTGGGGAACTATTCTGAACGGAGGGACAGAGAGGTCGGGATGGACAGTTCAGGCAAAGGTGATCGGATTCGCTGCAATAAAGACAACAGTCACTGCGTATACATCTTTCGGGTTCTAGGGGCGTCAGACGGGAATGACTGATTACCATGGGTTCCGGAATTGAGGTGGAGGGGACCAGCACTGGGCGGGATGGGAGGTACCTGGCCCGACAGAGCTTATTCTCATTTAAACAGGTGTCTAGTTCAATGATCCTGGAAACTACTTCCTCAGAGGGCTTACCCTGAAGTGACAATAAGAACAGGTTCTCCCTGATTTCTTCCAAGAGGCCCGATTTAAAAAAAGCAACCAAGGTCTCATCTGGCCAGAATAGTTCCGCAGCAGTTAATGTATAATTCAATGGCATATTCAGAAACTAATTGCCTTTCTTGATGCAGCCAGGCCAGTGTGGAGGAATCATCGTGGTCCAAGTCAGGGTGGTAAAAAAATGGTCTTTAGACTTTCCAGAAAGAAATTGATATAAACAATCTCCAGCATGGTAGCCGTCCATTCCTGTACCCTTCCGGAGAGGAAGGAAATAATAAAGGTGACTTTTTCCAAGGAAAAGCTGAATTTTTCTAGGTTTAACTGGAATAGCAGGGAGCAATGAACTAGGAAGGTGTGATATCTACGTG